GCGGCCGAGGGAAGAGGGGGTTGGGGGTGCGGGGGTGTTTGGTGGCTGCAAGGGGGAGTCGCGAGGGGTCGCCAGGGACGTCAAAGGGTTTTTTCGCGCCTTGGGGAGGATCGAAATGACACGCCAGGGTGGGCAGGGCAGTCGCACGTGCCACCGTCGACGATGTCATTTCCCGCCATAGAAAAGCGACGTCGCGGGAGGTCCATCTGCGAGAGAGTACTTAAGTCCTGCGCATCCCAACCCGCATGTATGTCGTCCTCACGAAGGTGTTTCGTCCGCGTCGCTGAAATAAGACGCTTACGGTTTGCATGGATCTTTTCAGAGTCCCGCATGAAGAATTTGAAGAGATGTGGTTTCAACATGCCGACGATGCTTTTGTCGACGTATCGATCCACTACACTGCGCCAATCGGCAATGTGATCGAGCTCAATGCACTTCGGCGGTATCTTGTGCGACGACTCGATAAGCGAGAACAACTACTTCATGATGTAAGCATCATTGTCCTTCAACTTTTTAGAGAAAACATAAAAAGTCGCGTCTATGTCGGTATGCGTGTGGCCAACGAGCATGAACCCCACTTCGACATCTTCGAAAATCCCAAATTTAACGAGAAGTGAGGCCAAACACATAAGGTATTGGTTTTTGTTTTCCCTCCAGCAGTTGTCCACCTGGATTCGGAGGTGGCGTGGCCATTTCTGTCCCGACGCCTGCAACTCACATAGAGTCCGCATAACGCACGTCATGGTGCCATCGGAACCGTGCGCATAGAAAGGTAAATACGTGTAAACATAAATCGACGGTTTGCTGCCGTGAGCTATAACTGAGGTGAGGTTCGTTTTCATCATCATGTCGTGTCGATGATCCTTAGAGTAATTATACATGTCGATGTGAGGAATTGTTGTCTTTTTCTGATCCATTCCATCCACTATAAGACAGAGGTATTCCGCGGGGTTCAAAATGGAATGAAGTTTTCAGTCAGCGTAATCCGCACGGTGAGCGACCTTATCCAGTTGGTGTTTACGGTGCTTTTCATCGAAATTCTTACGGTCACGAAGGTGAGGGCGTTATCTCTAGCTTCTCTAAGGCGGACACACTCGCCACACTTTGTGAACGAGTTGGATTTAGCAAGGTTGGCATGCCACAAGTACTTCCTCCATATGGAGTAGAAGACTTGCTCCGAAACGACGTTCTGACCCGCTGCTTGCAAGTCCGCCTTGATGGACTCGTAGACAAGGAGCTTCATAAAATAAGCAGGGAGCCTGACTTTAGGTCTTTGCGAGGTCCCGCTCACAACCATGTCGTTAGGCATAGCATCTCCATGTTCTTCCACGAACCTTGTCACACAAGCCTGCATGGTCACATACTCCGGTCTCGGGTTTAACAATCCCCATCGACCATGCTGGCCACGGACTACCCTGACTGACTTGCACTTGCTATAACGACGGTATGTGTTTCGACATATCCCAATTATTTTACACCAACCGGCGATGCACACACGACGCTTGCACTATACTGGTTTGATTCTTTCCAGACCACCGTCGGGAACAGTGAAATTGTTCACGGCTTGCATCCACCACTCGACCCTCTTTTTTAGGGACATTTATAATAAGCTCGGCGCACAGGTTTGATATCGTCAAGGGTTTTGAGGGACACTTGTTCTTACAACATTTGTGCGCTCGGACGAGCGTAATGTTAGTTTCATTCAATCGACATTTGACCCTCTTCGAATATTCTGACTTTCTAATCGGCCTATTTTTTCAATTATATCTTCTCCTTTCTCCAGGCAGGGGATGGGACAAAACCTAACGAACCGCTTCGGGAGTTTCAGGATGAGTCGTAGACGGGGACCGCTGCGGTGCATCCATAAAACTAGATCTGCCCGTGGGAGCGTTCCTCCGCAAATCAGACCGGGAGGACTCAGACAAACTGCAAAAATCTTTGTCTACAAAATCAATCTGCCAATTTCCTGTCGCACCCGTGACAGACATCGATAGAGCACGTACGTGGACTTGCGAACTCAACAAACCTAGGGGACAGTCAATTTTTCTGGACTCACTTGCAATTGTCTTATCTGCATCGACACTTTCACACGGACGTTTCGTCGCTTGTTCCCGGTCAGACCCGTTTCTAAACGACGTATCGCACCGTTTCCGATCAGACCCGTTTCTATCGGGCGTACCACAGAAGTCTATATCCACCAACGACCGACTATAGTCAAATACTAGGGGTTGGGTAACTTCAATGCTTTCACACAACCGACCGGTTGTCCGCACGACATCTGATCCAGTCGTTTCGGACACACCACAGAAATCAATGTCCACGAACATCAATCCATCGGGAATCGTCTGCATATCCCGATCACCTTCACTACCGTGGATTAGCGTTGTAGATATGCACTGACCGTCGGGAACATCAGTAAAGCGAACAATACGACGCCTACTGCACGTCGTAGAGGAATCCGAACAATTTGTCGGGGTCAACATAGAGAACTCCCTTTTTAAATCATGAGACAGTTCACAAGGAGCTTCCGAGCTGCTCTCACAAGACCTACTTTCTCGAACATCGTCTTCTCCAAGTTGTCGTGACGGTGGCGGTGACGTGACATAGGGGGCAGTTTGGACACCCATTTGAAGAGACGACTCACACGAAAACTGTACGACAAAAAAATCACGTCAACGTATAACAAAGTCAGGGAAAGAAACAAGAGAGAGCAAACTCGCATTTCTAATATTTATCACAAAACAATGACACAACAGTATTTGAATCCGTTTCTTCTTCTTGGGCTCGTGTAATCTATATATGTGCGAGTTTATTCGCTCTTTAATTAACCAGAGACGTTGTGGCACTTTCGGACCCTGATTTAAAGGTCAAGTGGTCTCACAAGTCCGACTCCTCTCCCACTCATTGTCGTGTACGAGTTGAAGGACTGTTGTTCCGTATTGTTAGTTTAACGTGCAAGCAATTTGGATTAGTCCGAGTGAACTCGCACTTTCTCTTCGGTGCAAGTTGATTGTCACTCCTGGCGGAGGAGATCCTGTTTATGCAAGAATACAAGTGCGAGTTGACTCGAACTTATTGACCATGCAATACGAAACAGGTCCGTGGTAGGTTCACCAACGAGTCTACTAGCACATAAAATAAGGGGCATACTTACATTCAGGTGAGAGTACAAGTGCGCGTCATTCGAGACACTGATTCACCATACACTAAAATTTAAGACCGAATAGACTCGCACATAGAGTACGGATGGTTTGTCACATTTAGGCCAGAGCACAATTCCCAGTTGACTCAGACTTATGCACGATACAGTTGGAAATATATTCGTGTTTGGTTCAGCACCAAATAGACTTGCTAATTGAATGCGTAGCATTGAGATCATTTCGGCGAGAGTACAAGTGCGAGTTGATCCCGACATTCATGATACGGTAAGAAATAAGATTTCTGGTTGGTTCAAAATCAGGCAAATTCGCACGTAGAAAAGTGCGTCGTATTTAGTGGAGATCACAAGTGCGAGTTGACTCGGACTTATGCCGTGTACAATTGGAAATAGATTCCTGGTTGGTTCAGCGACAAATAGACTCGGACATTGAATGCAAATGTGAGTAGATTCGGATTTATTCGCCATACAGTAAGAAATTACGTTGGTGGTTGGTTCAAGAGCGAATAAATTCGCACTTGAAATGAGTATTTGCACTGTATAGTAAGAAATTAAGGGGCCTGGTTGGTTGAAGACCGAATAAATTCGCACTTGAAATGAGCATTTCGGTTTCGAGACTAAGAGTGCAAGTGCAAGTTTATTCTAACTTCTTCACCGTATAATAAGAAATTAATTTCCCTGTTGGTTCAAGAGCGAGTAAATTCGCACATAGAAAAGGACTTCCTTTTTTTATGACGGAGACGAAGCGTGAGTTTACTCGGACTTGTTTACCACACTCATTTCGATTTCGAAACAACGGGCATATCCGTCAAGCATTCTTGTACGTAGGCAACTCCAATCCATGAATCGCACAATTGAAAGCATATCTAATCAATTATGTAGTTTATAGGCAACTCCATGCATATCCGGCTGCCATGTAAGTGTGCCGTTCCGGAATCATCAAAGTTATGTTTATTTAGATATAATGCATCA